GTCATGTTGAGCTTCTCATCAACCAGTACCCCCAAGCCCTTCTTAGGGCTGCTTTCAATCCCTTCATCCCCCAGCCTGTATTGTGCTTGGGATTGCCCCAACCCATGTGCAGGACCTTGCACTCGGTCTTGTTGAACTTTGTGAGGTTCACACGGGCCCACCTCTCAAGCCTGTCAAGGTCCCTCTGGATGGGCATCCCTTCCCTCCAGCATGTTGACCACACCACACAGCTTGGTGGTGTTGGCAGACTTGCTGAGGGTGCACTCAATCCCACTGTCCATGTCATTGACAAAGATGTTAAACAGCACCGGTCCCAATACCCACCCCTGAGGAACACCACCTGTTACTGCTCTCCACTCGGATGCCAAGCCATTGACCACAACTCTTGGAGTGCGACCATCCAGCCAATTCCTTATCCACTGAGTGGTCCACCTGTCAAATCCATGTCTGTCCAATTTAGAGATGAGGATGTCGTGTGAGACAGTGTCAAATGCTTTATATAAGTCCAGGTTGATGATGTCAGTTGCTCTTCCTTTACCGACCAAAGCTGTAACCTTGTTGTAGAAGGCTACCAAATTTGTCAGGCACTGCTTGCCCTTAGTGAAGCCATGTTGGCTGTCACCAGTCACCTCCTTAGTTTCCGTGTGCCTTAAGTATAGTTTCGAGGACGATCTGCTCCATGATCTTGCCAGGCACAGAGGTGAGACTGACTGGCCTGTAGATCCCCGGGTCTTCCTTTTTTCCCTTTTTAAAAATGGTGGTTATATTTCCCTTTTTCCAGTCAGTGTGGACTTCACTGGATGGCTATGACTTCTCAAGTATGATGGATAGTGGCTTAGCATCTTCATCCACCAGCTCCCTCAGGACCCACAGATTATCAGGTCCCATGGACTTGTGCACCTTCAGGTTCCTTAGATGGTCTTGAACCTCATCTTCTCCTGCAGTGGGTGGTTCTTCATTCTCCTAGTCCCTGCCTTTGCCTTCTGCTACTTGGGAGGTGTGGCTTGAGCATTTGCCAGTGAAGACTGAGGCAAAGATGTCGTTGAGTACCTCAGCCTTCTCCATAACCTGGGTAACTGTGTTTCCTGTTTCCTTCTGGAGAAGGCCTGCATTTTCCCTAGTCTTCCTTTTATCACTGATGTACCTGTAGAAGCTTTTCTTTTTGCCCTTGACATCCCTGGTCTGATTTAATTCTATCAGGGCTTGATAGAATTCTATCTTGAACTCCACCATTTCATGGTTATTGTAGGGAAGGCTGCCCTTGAGCTTCACATTCCCAACGAGCCCCTCTTTGTTAGTGAGAACAAGGCCAGCATAGCACCTGTCCTCTACCACTTGGAGAGGGAAGTTATCCTCAACACATTCCAGGAACCTTATGTTCCACCTTATATGCCCTGGTGTGCTGTTCCTCCAGCAGATATCAGGGTGGTTGAAGTCCCCCATGGGGATCAGGGCTTATGATCGTGGGCTGCTGCTGTCTGTCTTTAGAGGGCCTCATTGGCTCAGTCTTCCTGGTCAGATGGCCTGTAACAGACCCCACTATAATGTCACCTGTTCCTGACCCCTGCTTTAATCCTGACCCACAAGCTCTGGGTCAGCTCCTCATCCCCAGGTGGAGCTCCATGCACTCCAGCTGGTCATTGACATAGAGTGCAATGCCCCCTTCTCATCTCCCCTGCCTGTCCTTCCTAAAGAGCCTGTATCCTTCCATTCCAACGCTCCAGTCATAGCAGCCATCCCACCATGTCTCCTTGATGCCAATAATATCATAGCCCTGCAGGTGTGCACACATCTCTAACTCCTCTTACTTATTCTGCTATGTGTGTTTGCATAGAGGCATTTAAGTTGAGCCCCCGATGAAGCTGACTTACTGGCTGGAGTGTCTGGAATTAAAAAGCTGCTTGCATGGGAAAAATTAATCTGGAGCTGCAACATAAGCCTTTGAACAAAATATGCAAAAAAAAAAATTTTTTTTCTGAAAAAAAAATCAAACTTTCATGTAGTGAATAGAAAGAGGACAGTGAACATGTACATATTACATAATCATTAGCTAATTTTATTATATAGTGTGGATAATGTGTTATGTATTCCCTCCTGAGTACCTTTCAGACCTTTCCCAAGTTGTAATCATCAAAACCATGCGCCTGTGCAGAGTTTACTGTGGGATCAGAGGTTTTTTTCTTCATAATCTCTTAAGAATTATTCGGTTTTTAATGCTGCATATTTTTTATTAAAAATAAAAATTAAAAAACCCACAATCTTTTTCTTCCCCTGTTGATGTCATGTTGTGTATACTTTTGTAATATATGATGTATTCCACATTGTAGTGAGTGAGAGTCATGCTACAGGCTTTACTGAGCAGCATGACAAGTCTCCTGATGGCATGTGATGTCTTAGATGCCATTTGTCAAATCCAAGTTCTGTACTGCTCAGGCCTATGGACATGTTATATCTAGCTCCACACAGAGCAGAAGGAAAACTGGTGTGTGTAACATATGCTTGTGCTTCCCTTTTTGCAGCTTTATCAGTTCATCAGCTGGCTGCTCAGGGAGAAATGTTGTATCTGGCCACACGTATTGAACAAGGTGAGACAGAGGGAGGTTAAATGCCTTCCTTTTTTTCCTTCGGGCATTTATACCCTGTTGTGCTTGACTTTTTCCCTAAAGCTGCATTTAGAAAAATCCTCAATTCTGGTATAAATTGAAGGATATTTGAAGTATCTGTTCTTTGCGGATATGGGCCATTGTTTCACATCAGTCTTTTATGCATTCATTATGATTTCAATTTTAAATTAAACATTAGTGTGAAGAGGAGTTTATCATGGTTTAACCCCAGCCAGAAACTAAGCACCATACAGCTGCTCACTCATTGCCCCCCAGTGGGACATGGGAGAGAACTGGAAGGGCAAGAGTGAGAAAACTTGTGGGTTGAGATAGACAGTTTATTAGGTAAAGCAAAAGCCACGCACGCAAGCAAAACAAAACAAGGAATTCATTCACTGCTTCCCATGGGGAGGCAGGTGTTCAGCCACCTGCAAGAAAGCAGGGCTCCATCACGCTTAACAGTCACTTGGGAAGACGAAACGCCATAACTCCGAATGTCCCCCCCTGCCCTTCCTTCTTCCCCCAGCTTTATATACTGAGCATGACATCATATGGTAGGGAATATCCCTTTGGCCAGCATGGGTCAGCTGTCCCAGCTGTGTCCCTGCCCAGCTTCCTGTGCACTCCTAGCCTTCTTTGTAGTCCTTGACTGTTAAACATCAGTGTATTACCAACATTATTTGCATCCCAAATCCAAAACATAAGCTCATACTAGCTTCTATGAAGAAAATTAACTTCAACCCAGCTGAAACCAGGATAGGTAAATCCATTCCTTCCCCTTCTCCCCAGCTATGTAGGTAACCCATGGAAATGAGGAGGAAGAATTCGTTAGTTTCTATCAGAAAAGTTTTGTTCTTTTAATTATCTTTGTAATTTAAAACACATTTCTATGAATGGTGGCTTTCCAATTCTATTTAAGCAATGAACATACAGAGCTATATGTTGGTAATTTAAGCCATGGCTCACACCTGCAAAATAATAGTGCTGCTTATTCTGAGTTGTGTGATAGTCTTCAGTGTGACATTTGTGTGTCCATAATATTTAAACAAAATTTCAACTCTACATAACATATTGAACTGAAGATTGTTAATATTATATTCTTATTGTATTATTGCTAAGCAGCCATGCTTTCAATGCATCTTTGCTGAAATGTTTACTGGAAAGCAGGTAATGAGTCACCAAGTCTATATATTTTGTAATGAGCCATGTATAGGGAAAGCAAATTGATTCTGGAGTGTCAGTAACAGTTAAAAATGCATATTATGGTGCTGTGATAAGCACGGGATTTTTTAAAGTACTTAGATACTAAAAAAATTCTAACTCAACTATTTCAGTCAGCCAGTTGTGAAAAAAGTTCTTTTTCCTTCTTCCAGCAGCACTAGAAGTAGACCTTAATTGTTTCCACAAAATACCCTGTTGATTACATAAACTTTTGGGGGAATGGAGCTATACTATCTATATTGCTTTACAAGCTAATTTTTTACAAGATTGTGTGTCTCTCTCTATTGAAAAAAACACTTTCTACAGTATAATACAGAGTGTACCTCTATTTTTCAAGCAGCCCTTCTCTTCTTTCCAAAGATAAAGCCCAGATTACAGACAACTCATAACATTTCTGAGTAAAAACAGAGCTTGATCTATAGAGCTTAAAAAAAAATAAACTCAAATCTTAAATTTTACTTTGGTCATTTGGGTGTTTTTTTCTTTCTTTGACAAAGATATTTGCACTACCATTGGTATAGAATTTTATTTTTAAAGTTAAGATGAGAATGACTTGTAGGACACAGTGGTACCTCAGTCCATTCACCATGGATATGTCAATATTTCACCAGCTCATACAATGCATTACTGAAAGGGATTACTAATTTGCATATTTTTCTTTAAACAGAAAATGTAATCAATCATAAGGATGAAGAAGGATTTACCCCTCTGATGTGGGCTGCAGCTCATGGGCAGATAGCAGTAGTGGAATTTCTCCTCCAGAATGTAAGGAAAAAAACACACTTCATTTTAAATTTCTTTACTTTTTAGTTCAGTTTGCTTTCCTGAGCTTGTTGATGCTGCTATACACTTAAAAGTTGAAGTTCTTAAAGTTATGTGTAAAACCTCACATTTTAAAAAAGCATGGTTAATTTCATTTATTATTGTTGTTGTTGTTGTTGTTATTATTATGTCAGGGTGCAGATCCTCAGATTTTGGGGAAAGGGCGAGAAAGTGCCCTCTCACTGGCTTGCAGTAAAGGATACACAGATATTGTCAAAATGCTGCTCGACTGTGGAGTTGACGTCAATGAGTATGACTGGGTAAGACTAGCTGAATTTATGTCAGATAGTACTTTGGTCAGAAATTTTAAAAGGGCACAGCACTGGCTTGAGTTTGAAAATTCTTCTACTTCTGAAATATCTGAGAGTTTCAAAACTTCCATAGGACAGGAGAAGTTGGCCCTACTAGTTCTGACTTCTGGGTAAAAAGAAAATGAGACTAATGCTGAGTCCTTGTAGAAGGGTGAGCTTACAGTCTAAACAGTAGACAAAAAAGATGAAGTTGTGAAGAATGAATACAGAACCTAATTTTTATAAAACCTGTGAAGTCTCTTACTGATACATAGAAGTATACTGGTGTGTTAAGGAATTATAGTTGCAGACTGCTCAATCATTAAGTGTCTAAGGCTTTTCCCTGCTTTTGCAGAATGGTGGCACACCTCTGCTATACGCAGTACATGGGAACCATGTGAAATGTGTAAAAATTCTCCTTGGTAAGCAGACTGTCCAAACTGAATTATCAGTAATAATGTACTATCAGTTCTTATTGTCAGAAATATGAGTTTCTTTTCCTATTTTACATAGAAAGTGGTGCTGATCCAACTATTGAAACAGATGCTGCCTATAATTCCATGGATTTAGCTGTAGCCTTGGGCTATCGGAGTGGTGAGTATTGCAAACGTAAATTCTTCGATTTTTACTTTTACTGTTCCTTGTTTATGTAGCTGCTGTAATGGCCTAGCAGAGGTTTAGCAGCTGTAAGAAGATCCCTGACCTAAAAGTCTTAATACACCTAAATGTCCCAGACCAAAATGGGTAGGAGCTTCTGTCCTGTCTCAGAAAGCCAGGTACCTAGTAGGAAAATGTCACTGACCTGGATCTGCATCTCTGGGCACAAATAATGGTGCATAGGGCTGATGCAGCCATGATCCAGACGAGGGGAACTGAGCTGCTCTTCGACCCTGTACAAAGGAGTGTGTGGGGCCCTGGACAATGATAAGAGGCCTGTAGCCCTCCTGAACCCCTCAGCCTGGCATGATGTGATGTACTTTACAACACCTTCTTCCCCTGTCAGACTAGCTCTAGCTGTAGTTGGAGGCAGACAGTAATAGTGCCAGGATCAGTGAATTAGGCTACCTTACATGGTTCTGGAAAACAGAGGCAAAGAAGGGACTCTTCATTGTTTTTCCCTCATGCTGCCTTCATTTTGAAAGCTGTGAAATGTCTCGTTACAGAAACGAACTCAATCCAGAAATAAGCCCAGCACTACACATGTAGCTTCTCCAAGCAGAGCCTTGTGCTTATTGGGGGGGGGCAGTAACTTCACAGATGTCTAGGTATAGGACTACTTCAAGAGTTCACTCTCAAAACATTACATGGAAGTAGCTTCTAATAACCGGTTTTGCCCACTTTCCATTTATAGGCTTAAAAATTTCCTTCTGTATGCTATCTGCCTATTCAAACCACAGAACAGAGCATCACCTCCAAAAATCACCATTTGCCTTACTGAGTGTATTGTTTTTGCATTATATGGGGCTTTTTTTTTCCTAAAGGGATGCAAACTCTCTTCTCAGAGTGAATTTATTCCTGTCTGTTTTTTATTAAATGATTGTACAGGGCAAGCCAGCATCTGCCAGGAAAAAACAGTACAACCCTAAAGATGAGGAAAAAAAATTAAACAGTGACTAACCTGTTTTTTTTGTCTGCTTTAGTTCAACAGGTTATTGAGTCTCATTTATTAAGGCTGCTTCAAAATATAAAGGAATAATGGTTGGCTCTTCTGCAGGTGTCAGTTCTCGGCTTGGAGATTTGAACTGCTTTTTAGCCTTGTAATCAGTGGCCAGGGTTTGTTGTTTTGTAACTCTATGTCAGTTTACTTGCTGTTTTTAGTTAAGCTTTTTGATATGCTTCCTCTTCTTTCATTGTTGTTCATAGAAATATGTGATGTCATACTTTTCTTAAATACATTTGATATAATTTAAGAAGTCAGTTTTCGTGCATGAAGAACTTTGTAAATAAAACCAGTTTTGACTATCTAAATGTTTACAGAGTGCAGTGGGTGGCACTGTGCCAAGTGTCCTACTTGATTATATCAATACACAGTCGTACAAAGAAATTTGTCTAGATACCGAGATATATCACCGTAGAAGATAGATGTCTCTACTGTTAATAACACCAAAATGTGGACCACGTGTGATTGTTTTCAAGATCCCCAGTTCGTATTACTGTGTCAGCTTTTGGCTTTGCCTGATTTTTAACAAGTTGGTAATAAATTGAAGGATTTTGATGTTGGTAGCACCTGCCTGATTTCTTTCCACCTGCCTCTGCCTTCCTGTTGTAGTCCTGAAACAACTAGGCCAGACTGTCCTAGGTAGATATTTTTCTGGACTAAGAAAGCCTAACTGCAAATGCAGAATTCCTAGCTCCTAAATATCCTTCCTGCAGTGGCTGAAAGCAGACATCAGCTGTAGGGCAAGAGAAGCCAGAGCCTACTGCATTCCAGCCTTCTTCAGCTGAAGTATGGTACTTTGGATCATAGAATCATAGCATATCTTAAGTTGGAAGGGACCCATAATGACCATCGAGTCCAACTCCCTGCTCCTCCCAGGACTACCTAAAACTAAACCATGATGAAGAGCATCATCCAGATACTCCTTGAACTCTGACAGGCTTGTTGCTGTGACCACTTCCCTGGGGAGACTGTTCTAGCCACCCTTACGGATAAGAACCTTTTCCTAATGCCCATTCTGAACCCTGCCATGATGCAGCTTCATTCCATTTCTTCACGTCCTATCATTGGTCACCAGAGAGAGGAGACAGCACCTCCCCCTCCACTGCCCCCCCTTGAGGAAGTTGTAGGCCACGATGAGGGCACCCCTCAGCCTTCTCTTCTCCAAGCTGAGTAAACCAAGTGACCTCAGCTGCTTATCCTAAGTTTTGCCCTGAGACCTTTCACCATCTTGGTCACTCTTGTCTGGACACACTCTAATAGTTTGATGTGTCATATTGAGGATCCCAAACCTGCACATAGTACTCACCTCCCTTGACCTGTGCTGTGCTCGATGCACGCCAGGACATGGTCGAGCCGTTTGACTGCCAGGGCACACTGCTGACTCCTATTCAACTTGCCATCAACCCAAACCCCCAGATTTCTTTCCCTGGGGCTGCTTTCCAGCCTCTCATCCCCCACTTTTGGGGGATGTCACAGTGTGTCTGTTTAGTTACAATCTGCAGTTATGATTTTGAAATTGGTTGAAAAACCATAGACTATTCAGAAGCTTTTCCCCCGATAGTACATTTGGATCCCCCATGCAGAGCTGTCGTGTTTCTATGAGCATTTCTCCTTTGTGTCCACTAGAGGTCTGGCATCTATTTGCATACATACACCCCTAATACCCACCTTTCTTCCCCAGTCTCAAGTTTGCTCTCCACCTACAGTTCGCAAGACATGAGTGGACCCAGGTAAGTTTAATTTTTCTATTTGAAAACCATTGCATACACAAAGGAAATCAATACTATTTAAAGTACATGCACTGTGACCCTGACCAGTGGTACTGGAAGGCTGAGAGAATAATCCAGCCAAGTTTTTTGGGTCACAGCCAGAGAAATAATGAATTCAAAATGCTAACTTGGTAATTTCAAAGAGACTGAATATACAGTAGGAGAAAAACAGGAAAAATTCCAAATCTACATGGATTAAACCTGAATTTGTAGCCAAACTTCTTGCCAACTCTGTACTGAAACACTGCAGTGTATAAAATGTGTAGATCAGGTCAGAATTAATCTCTGAAAGGTTGTTTGTGTGACAGCCATTCTGGAGATCCATTTCTTTCATGAAGCTGAAATCTGAAATGGAATGAACTTTAAGGGAGGTGAAGCAAGAAAATGTAGCTGATCTTGCAGCTGCTGGTGAAATTCTTGCTGCATTTAAGCGAGTATTATCTCTAATAATTATCTCTAGTCTCCCAGGCTTTAACACTTAGATTTTTCATGTAGGGTTTACACCAGTTTTACTGTTACCATGCATGATTAAATCAGATGAAAGAAACTGTAAATCTGACATGCCTTGGAAGCAAGGAAGGGAAATTGTTTCATAATCAAAATCTAGAAAAATGTCTTAAGTACTTTTAAAGTAAAATAATATGAAGTTGCATAATGCTGAGATGTATTGTAAAAACAAACATTGAACTTCCATGTTTGTTGAAAAACGATGCAAAAAATGCAAACTGTTTTATTGAAATATTATAACAATCCACTTCTGATAAATTTTTAAGATATGGGAAGATAGAAAAATAGAGGAATAGAGGAACAGATAAAGACAGCAAACTGTAAAATTTCTTCCATTTTGCTGTAGAATTTCAAGCAATTGTCAAATAGTCATCACCACATGTCCCACAAAAGCAAGTACAAAGGTGAAGATGGTCACCTTTCAGAAGCTGTTTCCTGCATTAAGAGCATAACATTACACTGCTAAGCCAATGAATATGGAATTGAAGTTTTCTGTGGCTTTTGCTGAGGGCTCTGCAGGAAACAGCCAGCTGTATTTCATAAGCTGTGATTCAGACAACCTGAGGAAAACTTGAAGAGTTATCAAACTGGGCACAGGGAATCTATGCAAAGAAAAAAGCACTTTACTCACTGGGAAAAAAAAAAATCACTATCAAGAAAGCAACGACAACTTGTTGATTATGCAATATTAACAGCATGCTTCACTCCACATACTTTGTGTTTCTGAGGCACAATGATCTGTGTAAATGTGTAAATATATCTCAGCATTCAGTTTTCCTTGTTTATAGTGGTAAAAATTTTAAAGCCCCTGATTCAGCATTGATAAGCATTTTTCAATGTCAGGCTGCTGGTTTTGTTTTGGTGAACAATTTCTGTAGCCTCTGATGGCACTGAGCAGACACTAGGAGTTAGCTTTGAACCCCACAGGGCTGAAGGCAGGAGTGTTTCCTTGCCATGGCATGCCAGAAGACCAGATGAGTTTGAAAATTCTGCAATCAAAATCTTAACTCCAATTTGATTCTCCCCAAACCTTCTAAGAAAAGCTCTCACCCATGTGATTTCTTACAGAATGTTGTTTTACATTTGAACTTGAATGACTGCATACTGTATTTCAGAGCATTAGCAAACAAGTCGCTTTTCCTGATTAAATTATTTTTGCCAAATTCAGTGTGCAGCATGTAATCACAGATGTCATGAACTCTGCCTCACAAAGCAGATTGCCTAGCACAGTTTCATGTAGTAAGAACAGCCAAATGCTTCAGAGCTGCACAGTCTTTGTCTCATTCTTTCACGTTTGACTTTGCAGGGTGTTCTGATCTATTTAATGGAGTACACAACAAATGAACTCTAGGCTGCAACGCAGCAGGTATGACATTTGTCAGAATTAACATTCCTTTATGGCTAGTACTGGCTGCAATAGCTTAGAAACCTTACGGTGCAAGACAGACAGGCTTTATTTGTCTGGCAGGGAGGTAAAAGAAAGCTAAAGAAGCAAGCAGCTCTGTTAGAGGGAAATTATATAGGTGTGAAATAATTCTACCAAGAAAACAAAATTTGACACATCCACTTACTAACTGCTCAAAGAAATTCTGCTTTCTCAGTTAGGCAATGGCTGAGATAGAAACTGAACCAAAGAAAATGAAGAATAACCATAAATAGTTAATATTTGTTTAAAGGAAGTTAAGATGCTTCTGTAAAGCTATTCTTAAAGGAACTCGAACCAGTAGCCCCTGCTCCCAACCCCTGGTAATGCA